ATAATTATTATCGGTAATATTATCATCGCTGCCACTGTTTTCACTACTACTGTTAGAATAATTTTCAACTTTTTTTCTTTCCTTCCGAACTATGATTACGGATACAACCAAGTAGTTACTAACAAATGCAAAAAAAGCGCAAATAAAAAGCAAAAAGGAGAAGGAAGAAGAAACAAAAGTAACGCCATGAATAAAAAAATAAAGTAAAGTAGAACCAACAAAACCTCAATAATTTTAATCATTTCTTTTTCGTCAATTGTCCCGTTACCATCAATGTCGTACATTCTGAAAGCCCATTCTAACTTTTGTTCTGGTGTTCCAGAACTGGTGACATTTATTGCCAAAAGAAATTCTTTGAAGTCTATATAGCCACTATTGTCGGTATCGAATGTCCGGAAAACATGTTCACAGAAACCTTCAGCACTTCCGGACGGGAAGAAATCCTTATAAACTTTAATAAACTGTTCCTTTGTCAAATGCCCCTTCGGACAGTCTTGCTGCAAAAAGAAAGAAAAAATGATAGGGAAAAACATGGTGGTAATTTTGGCACAATAAAACTGCTACTAATAATAACTATAATAATCATAATGATAATTACAAATAAATGAATAAATCAAAACCAATAGCTCTGTGATATAACAGAAGAAAAAGGATTTTATTTTTTATTTTTATTTCTATTGCCAATACTGAACGCTCCTCTAAACTGATCAAACTAATTGAAAAAGAAAAACTAAAGAAAAATAAATAAATAAAGTATAGAAAATACAAAGCGCACAGAAGCAACAACATTTTTTTCTCTATGAATATTCGAATGCGACGAACAAGTCAGAAAAAAATGTAAACTGTCAAGTAGAAAAATTAAAGGATAAAGAGGTAAAGACAAGAAATAATACTTACAACAAAACCTTTATACCATTCTTTGATTTGCTCTTCCGTGAAATTGGTATTGCGCTTCAAAAATTCGAGATCCTCTTTAGAAAGTTTTGGCTTTGAAGCTTTTAAACCCATCGGATGGGATGCAAATAGATATTTGGTAATATAATGATCAGAGGAGTATACAACGCAGATGTACAATTCGGAATGCCTTGGATCAACCAGAAAGGACGTTTAATTTTTTGTTTTCAGACAATTTGAATAAACAAGAAAATTCTTTTATTCTCTCCTTTTATTCTCTTATTTATAACAGGTTATTGTTGTTGATGTTTGACGTTTATATCGATGTTGTTGTTTTAGAAGTGAGAGAGAAAAAAAAAGGGAATGGGATCAAAAAAAAAGGAAGAAAATAATGAAAAAGTAGTAAGTTGGTAGTAGAAGAATGAAGCAGAAGAAATATAAGGAAATATAATCAGAAGAAAAATTAATAAAGTGGAATTAAAATCGTTGTTGAGAAAATTCTTTTTTTTTTTCTCTCGTAAAGGAGATGGGACCAAATATGGCGGAGGAGGAGGGAAAAGGAGGACAAATTCGTGTCGCTGGGATGATGATGATGATCAAGAATGGAATGCGTGATAAGGCGAGTTGAGGAACATGTACTGCCCTGCAAGCTTGATGCTACTGCTGTTGTTGATGCTGTTGCTGTTGCTGCTGCTGCTGCCGATGATGATGCTGTTGGTGCTGGTGCTGCTGCTACTACTGCTATTGCTGTTGCTGTTGCTGCT